AGGAGAGGGAAAAACTTTTTTTTTGTCATCATCTGATTGATGTCTTTTGAATCAAGACGAAACTAGTCTCAAGTGAAACAGTTAACTTCAGTTAATAGTTAACTATAAGGTGGTGTTAGTCTTATTACCGATTTTGAAATTCTTCACCATTAAAAATGATTCAATTATTATCGAAGTACATCCCCTTTTTACAGCAAAAGATTTATGCCCCTCTCCATCAGAAAAGTAGATAGTCCAAAAAACTGCTTTGGAGACAAATGTATGATTAAATAGAGAAAATCCTCCTCTTTGTAGAGTCTTACTTTTTATCCATCATAACGGCTTTTCATAGTTTTATAAAATGTTCCCGAGAAACTATGTGCGAAGAACATACATTCCTATGGCAAAATATTACTTTTTAATTGAAATTCTATATGTATATACTGAAGGATATACTGCATATACTCCTCAGATACATATTAATCGAAAATATTTGATAAAGTATTTTCACCTTCTTTAAGAAAAAGTTTCCTAAAAATAAAACATTTACTAACTTCGAAATTCTCTTTTTTTTTCCCAAAACCGCGTTTTGTCTTCGTCGCTTTCCGCGTTTTATATTTATCCTTCTTCGTTGGTGCTACAAAGTTCGGGATAATTTTTTATTGAGTAGAGAAAAGTTGGAGCTACAACGCCACAGAGTCAGATTTTTTGAATTATTTTTCGCTAGAGCGATAGTTCTATTCTCAAAACTATGAAAATGTCAACATGAATTTTTCGATATTCTTATTTTTATTAGATGTTAAGTCAAGAACCAAAAATTAGACTCTGTGGAATTGAAGTCTCAAGTTTTCTCTAGAAAATAAAATCATGTCGAACGTTGTAGCATCAAGGGATAATAAGAAATCTTTAAACGCCAGTAGGCCAAATTTGGTACTTACTGTGTTCAAGACTGTCGAACTACATAAGATATAAATTCGAAATTTTTATTGCAAATTATCTACGATATAGTTAATATCCTCTGAAAGTTTCATCGAGATCTGACTTAATCTGACTAAAATAGTTTTTGTTGTTCTCATAAAAAATTTGAGATTTCTTTTGTGAAATATAAACAGAGAAAAGAATGATGGGATGGATCGTCAATCAGTGGCAACGGAAATATTTGTATCGATGATTTGTTTAATAAACTTGTTAAAAATGAAATGAATGAAAGGTTTGATGTGTAAAGTATCATATTTATTCAGGTTTTTGGTCAGTTTTTATAACAAAATATTCTTGAGAAGTTCAATTTATGCTCATATTTTTTAGGCAAAAATCAGTCATTATTTATAGAAGGTATTATATTTTATATCTTTGGTTTGACTACTAGTTATGAAACGTCAATCATTATCAATATATTTTTATCGAGTATAATGAGTGCCATTATTATTTCAACTATATTAAATTTTTTATCAAACAAAAACAAAACAATAAGAACACAATTATTATGAGAAAAGAATACAAAAAAACCCTCTTTGCATTGTAGTTCAACATTTCCCGTTTATAATAATGAAACTGATAATGGCGAAAATAGAGAAGTGAAGAATGAGACTAGATATTGTTTTTATACCAGTCGTACGCTATACTATATTCTTATATTTAGAATCGCGAATAGGTTGGCGGCTCGAATTTATTAGATGCGACTGTATTATTATTATTATTTAGCATATTACTAAAAATGAAGAAAATGTTTTGTTTGAAGTTGGACGTTTCTAATAGTAAACACAATACGTTAGTATGTTTTACATTGGAGGATCTTGTCGTCGGATTAATCGTGATACGTGATCACCAATTATGGAAAGCATGGCGGCAAATAAAAAAAACTAAATGTTATAATAAGACAGAATTTTTTTAAATTTTTAACTTAGGTTGAAGAAACTTACCGCTGCCGCTGCTGGCGCTCCTTTATGTTTTAATTTAAAACCCGTCTGATTGGTTTTCGCTACTTTACTAACATCATCCATTTTCTTTTCCCACGCTGCAGCACAACATCTTTGAATAAAAAACATAGTGTACCATAAAAAAATAAAACATTCTGATTTGTTTTAATCTTACCCTAGTATAAGGAGTATTGCAGCGAATACTAACATAACGATACTAAACTAAAATAAGAAAATTAACATTCATTAAACTATCTAATTTTTAATTTTATAAATTACTATTCGTTCAGTCTGTGCTGGAAGTCTTGCAATTAAATTGAAAACATGAATAATCAGATCGGCAAGTACCAAAATCAAACCAATAATGGCAAATGTTAACACAGAATTTCTTGTATTATCGACGTCCACACGTGCAGTTTTTATTTTCTGACTTTTTGCGTATGAATTGACAAAGTAACCATCGTGTCGATTTGATACACCAGCGCTGATAATTACACATGTCAGTGCAATCTAGAGAGGAAAAAAAGAATAATCTTGATGCTCAATTATCGGGCTTTTAAAAATAAACTTACAATTGTGACTATGGTAAGAATTCCATTGAGAGTTTTAAACCACCCTAGATTTAAAAACCCTTTTCTAGCTTCTGGACCATCATCAGCTGGTGGATTAGGAAGTGAAGTTCCATAATGAGGTGAAACAGCGGATGGTGGTGATCCCATAGGATTTGGTGGGTATCTCACATCAGTCTGACTCATTTTCTATAACTACTTTCAACTAAAAGAATGCGAATATTTAAATGTAGCCATTAGTGTGAGAAGAAAAATTAAATCAGCAGTTTAAGAGAGAATAAACTGGTTTTGAGCTCTAGTCAATAATTTTGTTTTGAGATGCTATTTTTATCACATTTTCTTGAAAAACTGTCAAGAAATTTTCGGAATGCAGGTGAAGAAACTAGAGGAAAATGAGAAAAAGTTCTCTTGAACTGTCAGTTTATTGGGCGATTACATCTGATGGGGTTCTGTTGTTACAATGTATCATCACTATACCGTTGTTACCAAATTTTGGCAAAAAAAAACTGGTTCGCTTAGAATCACAGAATATATGAATAGTTTAAACAGAAAATTCTATTTACAATAAACTTCCCGGTTGGCCATCTCTTATTTATCCGATTTATCCTATCTTCTCGAATTTGTACAATTCTGCCGTTGATCCGACATATTAATTCCTATCGTGTTTGGGTTAGAGATCTTTTTATACGATCCGTGTTATCTGTTAACTATCCTTGAACTTTTACGAGACATGGGACTTCTTAAAATTATGTCACTCATGGCTTTATATAAATCACTAAAGAAAAAACGTGAGCAACTGACAAAGTATTTAATTTTTAACTCCAATTTTGAAATTCTTAATTGTTCTTCTACACAATATTTCACTTTGTCAAGCTCCAAAGTTCTGTTGGTTTCTATTTTCTTACCTTGATACTGGCTGATATTTTTCTATCACTGTGGTTTTTCAAGGAGTTAATTTCTAACTTAATTGTCTAATCCCGTTTTGAGCTATTATTTTCAGCTGGTTAATCCCTGAGTGAGTAAAATAGAAAAGTATATGGGAGAAAAAGAAAAGAATCACTGTACCAGTTCGATTTCGAATAGTCACTTTCTTTTATTTTTTTTTGTATTAATGTTCTCCATATCAAATACATCGTTGCACATACTTTAAATTGGCAAAAACGTTGTGGTGGCTACGAATGATAGAGACACCCCTTCAGAAATATGTATTGCTTTCTCTCTTCTTTTCTCATCTGGGGTCAACTAGACCATCACTTTCTATCGTATTTCTATTGTTTTTTTATTGTTTATTTTTTCTTTATAGTTTATGGTTTTTTAACGTTATCAGTCATACTGATCGAAAAAAAAATATCGTTTTTTTTTAAATGGATGTAATATGGTAATATGTATGTGAGTGACTGTGTGTGAAAGAGAGAGAGGGAGAGAGAGAGAAAAATATCGCAAATTTACTAAATGCATGTATCATCATCATTTGTATGATATTGTGCTCATTTAGTGATGAAGAGACAAATAGACGAATAGCATCAATATATAGCACATCGTTCCAGTTGAGTAAGCAATTCATCCTGTCTATATGTCTATCGAAATTATTATAAACGATTTTAAACAACTCCAGAGCTCATGGCTTCAGTAGAGTGGGAGAGAGACGTGACTCATAGTTTACCAAGTACTTGAGATGAAAAGCAGATGTGATAGATACAGTTTTAAGTAAATGAAGGAAGATGTTTTAAGGACAAAAAGAAATTTTATGCTCTTGGTGACTCGTTTCTTTAAATCCAGAAAAAAGTAAAATCTCGAATAAAAAGAAAGAAAATTCTTGCAAGTTTTATAAGAAACATTTTTCTATTATAAGAAATTGCAATACTGGAAACTGGATCTAAGTCAGTGTATTAAGAAGACAAGAGAAATGAATGACGTGAAATATATAATTGTGATTTATTAATAGATGCATTTTGCACATTATCCTTTATATCAAAACAAAGATAAACTATCATAATAAGAAAAAATATATATGATCTCAATACAATAATCTTTTATGAAATTTAGAAGAAAAAAAAAACAATTTATCTCTTGTAAAAATCAAACTTTACTATGAATCTCATATCATATAGCAAATGACACAGATATCATAAACTATTTTATAGGTGTAGAAGCAAAAATAATAGCATCATCAAAATGTCAACTGTCATTCTTTTATTTCATTTATCATGTCAAATGAAATCTCTAGTTCAAAAAAATCATAGCGTATACAAATCCTCAGTTTTATTTTACATACGCAAAATGTTTATCTAATTTGTCATCGTCTCATCCATCTTTCTAAATAGTGTTAATAGTCCTTTTATTCCTAAAACGTTGATTGTCGATTGATTGAGCAAGAAGAACTTGTTCGTGGTATATGGTTGTTTTAAACTGAAAACTGATTAATGATCAAAAAGTATTCATCATGATGATGATGATGATAGAAAAACGTTTGGAGATAGAGAAGATGAGTTGAATCACATCCTGTAGATACATTGACTCTCTCGGCATGTTGTAACATATCTTTTATTTTATGTTTTTTTTTACAGAGAGAAATGCATTTATATTAATATAGATCGATACCAACATCTATAGTGTTGATGACTTCTTCTAATTTTGGTTAAACAACAAAAAAAAAAAAAAAAAAAAAAAAATAAAACACAATATTTTTTTGGCCGCCCGAACGGAAAAAAAAATATGAATTTTTAGCCTAAGGGGCAAGGTGTATAAGTTTATTTAATGAACACAGCTGTGTGCCGCTTTTTTTTGACAGGAAGCAATACAAACACCATCATAGAATTCATAAATTGTTAAAACAATTGTACAACAGACCAGACGGTTATTGAACAAAATGGACATAGCCGATATGCCGAGGTAAGTGAAATTTATTTAACATGAATTATGAAGTAAGTAGATATATACATTTATCAATGAGTAAAGAATCGCATGGAGTAGTTATAATGAACAGCAATAGCTGAAATTTTTGAAATACTTTGAGTACATTTTTCGATTGGAAAAACGCATGTTGCAAATATAAGTCACAGTGGAAACTGATTCAGATATTTAGTCAAACATTAAAATTCACTATTTTTAATTTAGTTTTGTGGACAATAAACATAGCTATCTTTTCCTACGAAAATTAATTTCTTATCCCTTTTGGAAAGGGTAAAAAAATATATTAGAAATTAAGTAAAAAACTGTCATTAGTATAACAAAAACTAATTTTGTATACAGTTATGTGTATGTTCACATTGAAAATGAATTGAATAATGATTGTTTTTATTTCTATTCAGATGAAAAAAATTTTTTATTTTGAGCTTAATATTCTAAAGAAAAAAATTAAGTTTTATACTAAAAAATTTTCCAGTGTAATGACGATAATGCGGAGTTTAGTGAAGCCTTGAACTGACCACAAACGTCGAATCTACATCTGTTATATAGTGTTAACACCAATATCTTGCTATAGATTTTCTAACTTTTGTAACGATTTTGTGACGAGTGTTTAATTAATTAATTTTTCAGTGCGAATGGTGTGTGTATATACATAGGCACCGCACAACAAACACGGTGATAGAGAGAACGACAAATGTCATTTTATTCATTTATCTGTCTAGTAGATAAATGAAGTAGACTAATAGTGTTGACGGTCAAGTCCTCTGGAATATGGTGTTATAATGACTAATAATATGTGTAAAATTCTTAGACTAGCATTTTTTCTCATCTACCTTGCTGGACTATGGAACTAATGCCTCAAATTAATAACTATTTTAATGAGGACCAAAAAATTTTCCAAAAATCTTTTCAAGATCTTAATACAAAATTCAAGGTACGTCAGAGCGAGACTGTAGTAAATACCTTGATCAAGAATTTGTCAAGAAGCAGAATCTTGAAGAAACTTGAACAGATTTTCGCTTTCTGCAAGACGTGGATTAACAGGTTAGATCAATTCACTTTCTAAATCAACAGATTTTTCTTCAAATGATTTTCATATGAGAAATCAAAATTTAAAGAAATAAAATTCTGAACTGGTTTTGGGCTGCACTAATATATTAAAAACATGCTTAAACTGCTAGAATGATCCTCTGCCTCAGCAGAAATAAAAATTAAAAAAAGTTTCCATTATATAATACACTAAGATAGTTCCACACGAAATCTTTTCTTCTGTCGAACCCTTAAAAGGTTCTATACGGCTAATTTATAAAAAAATGGTCAGAATTAGGCAGATAGCTGACTATGTATAGATATAAATAGTCGTGATTGAAAAGTGTTGGCTACATCGCATGTCGTTCTCGGGAAAATTATATTGATTTCTTATTTTCGGAGCGCTTTATAAAACGCTAAAAACATTTATGGAAAAGAATGACTCTCTTGTATCTTCTAATGAACTGATTAAGGAGTAGTTCGAATTACTGGCGATTCGTATGAAAAATGGAGCAAAAAAACGTCTCTACACGATAGTATGATTTTTAATTCGTTTGGTCAAAATCATCCGTTGAAATTAGATTCTTTAAGCGCATTCAAGCCATTTTGTCACACTCACCATAATTATTCCATGTGACTCTACTATATATCAGTTTTTTTCATCTGCTAATATTTGTGTGATCTGCACCGTTGATTCATAAATGAAAAAAATGCAGGGGAGGGGGGAAGTTATAATGCCGCATCGACGCTTAGTTGAACAGTGAGAAAGTGAGTTAAATTTCAATAAGATCTTGACGAACAAAGTGGTTTTGTAGAAACATCACTCTTATCCTAGAGTTTCTCTACTAACAGACATACATCAGGCACTTTTTAGCTTGATTTGATTTTTATGCATATACTTGTTATAAAAAGCGTGTGATCTTTAGGTCATTTTATGTGACATCATGATAATAAAATAATTTAGTGAATTTACGTCATATTGTAAGTAGTTTAAGCTAAAAATATCATTCTATAGAGACCGAAGGATTATTAATTTACACATCATAATGCACAGCATAATTTGATCATTGAACCTATTTGTGTCGTCATTCGTTACGTTCATGCCATATATGTTAATAATAATAAAGGAAAACAACATACCCGTCATTTTTTTTACTTAAATCTCTTGATTCTTAAACAATCTGAGAAACTACTTCTTATTTCGATACATG